AAATTACCCAGAATCCTATTCTGTTTTGTTTGTTTGTTTTGTGTTTTTGGCCAGTAGGTGGCTCTAGTGGCTTCTGGCAAGGAATCCCTTTTTGTCCCTCTAAGGGCCAGCCACTTTTTTCTCTATAGAGAGAATTTGGTGATGTTGAAGAGGTCTGGAGAAACACAATCCTGTGACCCTAACCATAGATTCAGAGACTTGTAGCTTAAATGGTGAAGTTCATTTTATTATAGATTTGCATGGGTTTAAGTAGTCTTTTCTTATAACTCACAAATGGCTCAGAGCAGGTGTGTGGATGATAGAATGCATATGATACTCAGATATAATGACACATGTGCTCATCCTTCATTTGTCTTCCAAGGACCTAATAGTATTAAAAATGGAGGGCTGTGCATGTGTTCAGTGCAAAAACAATAGTTTTAGAAAACCTACATCTTTTTCTTTGGGTCATACACACCAATGTCCATGCAGTGGCTCCTACGAAGGCATTGGTGACAGTTGATAAGTAACTGTTGATTATTTCCAAAAATGCATGCTGCATTTTCTTTACACAGAGCAAATGGCAGAAAATATTCGTGCTAAAGTAGAGTAGGAATCAAAGTAAGTTTAAAAAGCATTTTTTATTATTCCAAATATGGGTATGGCTATATGCTACATTACCATAGAACACAGCAATAGAAATGAATTATGTCAATAAAATCTTGAAGCTTAAGATTTACCATGATAAATATTTTCATTAAAATGAAATATCTTGGCAGAGTCACTTTCATATGCAAACTCTTGACACAAGGAGGCCAGCTGTGTCTATGTAGATGCAAAGATGTTGGTCTATATTATTAATGATTTATCATGTCATGGAGAGCTTAGATTAGTTTTGAAAGCAATCCCTAGCCACAAAAGCACTTTCCATAATGTGTGGATGCAAGGAATAGTGTATGTGCGTTCCAAACTAGTCATCAGAGAAAACATCTCTCTCTTTGAAATTCCAACATCTTCATTTTTTATTTTGAGGCATGGGATTCTAAATCCTACACTATGTTATTCATGAAAATTTGTGCAAAATGTTATTCTGATCAATTGGATAATAGTAGGTACACCTGAATTAATAGACATATCACATGGATAAAGAAGTGAACAAAAATTCATAACACACCCATTGAGCCCTTAGTCTCACATTTACTGTAAGTTTGGATTAAGGTTCTCATCCAATTCTGTAGCACCACAAGATTGCACTGTCTTCGTGGCAGCTAGAAAAGCATTGCCTAGTGTTTACTCCGTGCCCACTGTACTCCTGGCCAGAGGCTAAACACATCACATGTATTATAATGTCCAGTCTGCCACAGAAGCTGTTTAAAGTTTTATTTTCATCCTTGATTTGCAAATAAGCAGACCGAAGCCCATTGTGGTTAAATAAATTATTCAAATCACAAGTCTACTGGGAAGCAGTTGGATTTTAATGTAAACTGTATAAACTCCAAAAACTTCATTGTTAGTTCATTCTTAGTGGTTGCTATTCAGACCTCATTAAGAGGGAGCATAGAAATCCTAGTTACAGGTGTGACATGAACCAAATCACTAAAATTTCTCTTTTTCAGTTTCCTCACCTTTAAAATGATGTTAATAATAGTACTTGGCTCATAGAATTGCAGCACGCTCATATTTTTTAAGTGCTTGAAACAGCTTGGCATATGTTAAGCATGGTATTTGTTTAATAGCTATAATGGTTAAGGATCTGATGATTGATACATTTTACTAAGAATCATACGCAAAGGTTTTCTGTAGATTCTAGATAGGTATTATACTTGCAATTCAATTGGAAATGAGTTATTACTCACCATTGATGGGAAACTCATGCAGATAATACTAAATTTGCTAGCCAGGTAGAATCTAGCCTTCAAAGTTTGCAGGGGCCAGATGGGTTGTTAAAGGAGCCAAGTGCCTCTATTCACTTATTGATAAATATTTAACAAATATTCTCAGTGGCACTGTGAGATCTTGAGACACAACGTAATGAAGCCATTACTATGGAGAGTTATATAATATAGCCACGAAAATCCTTTCTTATCTGACACGAAAGAGAGTGTGGGAATGTTACAGGCTCCAGTGTCATACCTATTCAATGAGTATTTACTGAGTGTGCATCCATGTGCTAAGCACCAGGCCTGTACAGGTAAGGAAGGCGAAAACCTTGCTCCATTAGGATGTGTTCAGGTGGGAGATACCCTTAAAAGAATAAAGATTAATAACATTTTGGAGCACAGACACAGTCACTCAGATCCATACAAAGGGTTTTCAGGATGCGGGAAATTTGACACCTAAACAGTTGCTGTTCAATCAAGAAGCCAGGAATGAAGGTAAGCAGCATGATAGGGTACCACAGAAAGCAGAAACGTCATGTGAGTGTGCTCTGTGGGGCAAGGCCAGTATTCAGCCAGTGTTAATGCCTAGAGCACAGGGTGATTGGGGAGAAAAGGGAACTGGCGGAAGTCAATGGGGTCAAAGAGTTGAATGGTGTCAAGTCAACAGTAAGGATGGGAATCAGAGGAACCACACAGCACTGTCAGTGGCCTGAGCGGTTTACTTGGGTCTCTTTCCACTAAAAACCAAAGAATGAGTGTCATTTTCCTCTCATCATTCCCCAGCACAGACATGACGAACCCTCAAGAATAGGGCTTGACCTTCCTTCCCATGCCATGCTCTGGCTTCTTGCACTCCAGCAGAGCAAATACAAGCATGACCTCAAGGTCCAGACTGACAGAGTGAAAACGTGTAATTCATGGTTTCCAAGGACCCATCAGTATACTTTCCAGCAACTAGCAGGCCATTATTCCTTGTTATTCCTGGATTTAAGGGCTCAGTCTAGGGTAAAAACTGTCACCTCTGGGTATCTGTCCTTCTAAAACTGACTGCCCACATGTACAGGAGCCCAATCTAAGCCAGGTGTTGTGACTCACCCTTAGAAATCTCAACACTCCAGATGCAATAGCAGGAGAATTGCCTCAAGTATGAAGCCAGCCTGGTTCGAAGCAATGAGTTCCAGGTCAGGCTGAGCTACAAATTGGGATGGGGGGGGCGGAGTTAATCAGGAATCTGGAGAAATGGACCTTTGCTGCAACCATGTATATGGGACAACTCACAAACCTGCTTCAAGATGGCTGGTGATTTGTTCGCTCACCAACCAAGTAACGCTTCCCCGCCCCCAGCCCTTTCATCTCCCTGCAGTGTCCAGTACCCTCAGCCTGCAGGGCAGAAAACAAGAAATGACCACTGGCCAGGAAACAGCCATAGCTTTCTGGGTCAGAAGTTGGCTAGGGGAGGGCCCTGACTGCCAAGTAACTTGCAATGATGTCAGAGCCCAGCACAACCAGAAAACACCAGCCAACCAGGCAACAAAAGACCTAACAGCAGAAAAACCACTGAGCAAGTCTGAGAAGCTGCTCTTTCTGCCCCCTGCCCCTGTCTTGTAATAGGAGGGACAGCGGGAAAAGCTTGCCTTTTAAAAGGCTGTCCTTTTTCTCGGGGCTTGCTTTTGGCTACCAAGTGTTAACCAGGGTAACTCTTTGGAGTTCCTTTTCAACTCCCTGGCATATTCTTCCTAAATGTAAACATATATCTGTGTGCCCGAGAAAAGGAGGAAGAACCGCGGACAAGAATATGCCTCCTGTGTGTCCTGAATCTCTTTCCATGGTAATTAACCACACTCAAGCGAAAACCAAAAGTTTGGCGGAAATGCTCTCTGTCTCTCTGTAAGCAGGGGCACCACAGTTGATTCCAGCCAGTTAGAACCCTTAAGTGACACATGATTAGATTGCAAACTAATAAACATAGCCCGTTCTTGGAAATGAACTTTGAATTAAGACCCTCTTTTTTGGGGATATGTGATTATTTTATTTCATTTATGACAGTCCAGCTTAAATGATGTTGCTTCAAGGACATTTTCATTTCTCCCACAACATATTAAACGAAACACTTGCCTGTAAAACTGGCTCATTAGCCTGCAAAATTATACTGTACTGAATGGCTTTCATTCAAAGTGGAAATAAGATTTTTAGTAGGCAATTTCTGTATTTTCTAAAGATACAGCTATGTTTGATTGCTTCTTTCCAGCTGTTTTGCTTAGTGATTATAAAGATAAATGGGGGAGGAGGCTTGCAAGAATGAGCTCAAAAATAAATCTTAGACTAGAAAACTAAGACTCAAGTTCGGGGTACAACTGCGCCCATGGCACCACTGGGCTGCAGCGATTTGTCCTCAGGACGTCTGGGGGCGGCTGGGAGAGTAGTGAGGGCGCCTGGAGGAAGGGAGAGGGAGGAAAGGGAGAGGCGGCTTTGCAGGCTACTGAGGCGGCGCCAGCTGGGCGACCCGGCTCCAGGAGGCGCGGGAGGAGCGGCTCCACTAAGGTGGGAGAGCCTGGGCGCGCGGCCGAGCGCAAGCAGGGACGCGGCGGCCACCAGGGTCGAGGCCGTGGCGCGCGTGGGGCTCTGGGCGGCGCTGGCCGCGGTGGGAGCTGCGGAGCGGCGAGGGAGCCGGGCTCTCGGGGAGCGACTCGGAGATGGATCGAATTACACCATTTGCAGGGCAGCGGTTTGTTTTGCTCGCGCTGGGTCCCACCGCCGCCGCAGCCGCCCCCGTCAGAACTGGAGCTGGCGAGTTTCGGGATAGATCGCAAGGCGAGAGCCGAGACCGAGGGATTGCTCTTTCTGCACACTGTCTTGATCGGCTTTTGCGTTTGATCGTGACAAGCTTTATTTGTCTGTCTTTTAAAGCAGGCTTCCCCATGAGAGGTAAGACGGTCTCCGAAGCTTCACTGACGCTCTGGGTGCGTGATGGGGGTGGGACCTCGAGCCTGCAGCGCAGCTGTGTGCGGGCGCGTGTGTTTGCGTGGGCGTAGTGTCGTATCCCCCCTGAGTTCATTGCTTTCCCAAGCCGCTCGGTCTCCAGCGGTGCACGAGGCGCCTGGGGAGGTCTGGCTGACCGGTCCCAGCTGGCCGGTGGGCGGCCTGGGGGCGGGGCGGGCGGCTCGGCCCTCCTCCTAGGCGCACCCCTCCTCCCGGGCGCACCCCTAAGGGAAGAAAAGACACCCGGGGACGCGAGGAAAAGTTTCTTCCAGGCAGGGCCGCCTCGGTGCTGCCCCGCACACCGTCAGGTTTAGCCCGTCTTCCTTGCTGCGGGGCTCGGAACCTTTAGCCCACCGGCAGTGAAACCCAGGCCGCCCGGCCAGCCTCGGCCCCGAGGACGCAGGGACAGCCTGGGAGCGTGGAGCCACTGGCTGTTCACACGGGGACCGTGGGCACCCACCCTCCAGGCTGCCAGTCACTCTCCCCCGCAACTTTGCGTGCTTTGTTCGCTGGCTGGAAATGATTCACCGAAGCGCCGTGGACAGGGTCTTAGCCAGTCGGCAAGGGCTCGGTCCTGAGACGTGTTACGCTCTCAGCTCCCCATCAATTATGGATGGAAACAAATAAGGAAGAGTCAATTTTGTATGAGCCGCGTCTTCCGCGGCCAGAGGCATCCAGTAGCCGGGAACAGCGGCAGAGAAGCCGAGCCCAACCAACATCCAGGTAGGGAAACTTCCAGATCTGGCTGCAATAGAAACTGAGTCAGTAGCCGCCCTGGGAGATTTGGGAGCGCTTTCAGCCCCCAGTGGCATGTCTAACTCTTAGGATCTAAATTAAAGGCCAGAAAGGGCTAGGAGGTGTGGATGCAAAGCGAGTTTAGAATTTTTCTCATTAATCGGCTAGCAGGACCATTACTGGCAGAGGACTGTTTAAATCTAGTACTTGTGTTTTCTTTTTTAAAAAAGGCCAGGGTAGTGGTGGTGATGGGGTGGCATTGCAGTAGGGTATGAGATAGAGCACCAGAGGAATTGGACCAGTCAGTAACCAATTCCAGTATCCTCAGAGTGGGACAGCACATCATCATTGTAGATTACCCCCCCCCCCGAGACTTTGTGTACAGTAACTAAACCCCATGTCAGCCACTCAGGCTGCTTTCCCTTAAATCAACACAGCTTCTGGTTACTTACTGGAAATGTTGAGGGCTTCTTCCTCTCAAAACTTCAAGCTACTAAAAATGTAAGTCATCAGTAGCAAAGTATAATTGTCTTTCCCCTTCCCCCTTACTCAATACTTGATGCAATAAAGTAGATTCTTTTGTTTATGAGGTCCCAAGGAAAGAGTTAACGTTTTTATTCAATTGGTTTAATCTCTGCTCCTTGAATAGGAGAAATACTCCCCTTTGGAGATAGTCTTCAAGGCTTTTCTTCCTTATATTGTTAAATTTTAGACAGCTGGAGGAAGTGTTCCACTGTCTTTTTGGTGGTATCAAACAATAGATTCTGGTGCTGTGTTTATTCATGATGTTAAGTATCTACCCTAGGAAATTAACTTGTCTTCAGTAGCGTTTAATGTAGTGAATGACAAGCTCGTCTCTCTCAAGCTAGCAGTATTACACACAAACGTTTACCCTGGCTTAGATACATAAAAATTACAGATAAGCTCTGAGATCGGGTTTGTATCACCATGAGCCTAAACATCTGCAGATAAACTATAGCTCACCCATAACTGAGATTTGCTTTTCAGTCTGCCAGTGCCTTTGTTCAGGTCTCTGAGATGTGTGCCCAGAAGACAGTTAAATACAAGGTCTTCAGATTTCTCTGCTGGCACGCTTAGGAATATCAACAACCCAATAAGCATTTCTTATTGAACCCCACTGAGTATTGGTACCCATCTCATTTCTCCTAAGGATGCTACATAGGTACCTTTTCTGTGATGCATGAGAATGTGCCAGGAATACTGTGATGTCTCTGTCACCAGACATCTGGTTAACTTGAGTTTGATTTAGATCTGTGGGCATTTTGCCACCCCTTCCCCCTTTTTGATGCCCTCTAATAGCACCAGAACCATCTGGTCATGCCTCCCTTGGTTTGATGGATTTGAAAGATGGCTGTGACGTCAGCCTCAGCCCTTAGAGTGAGGGCAACTTAAAAATCTAGAGGACTTCAGTTCACTGGCTTGCTGCACAGGAAGACTGTCCAGTAACTGATTTGGTAAGTGGGCCTCTGCATCCTGTCTGCTTGTTTCTGTTTGTTGGAAGACCATGAGCAAGGAGCTTGGATCCAGAACTTTGATTCAGAGAGATACCCATGTTGTTGAGGTCTTACTAAGTATGAGGGGACTCTTCTTGCTGCTCCATCATAATGAGCCATGGTAATTAGCTTAGTCATTGTTCTTGCATGTGAGTTTCACTAAGATACAAAGAGTGAAAAATGCATCTAAAATAGGGCTATTTTTTCACTCTTCTGATGCATTTTTATTTAGGGCAAAGAGCTTGGCTGAATGCTTGACCGGTATTAGTGCAACCATAAGAGGCAAATTCCCTAACACATTGCAGGGCAAAATATTATCTTTTATTTCTATCAAGGGTCTCAAAGCCTGCATAGTTCTGATTTATTTCTAGAGAAAGCAAGAGGCTGTTGAGATATGCCATCCCATCTATGTTTATTGAGTTCCTGTCATTTGCAAGGAGCTGTAACTGTGAAGCCAACACCCTGTGGCCAGATATGCTTTTGCATGCCCACCTTGAGCAACATTACTATCTAGAAAACCAGATCTGTGGGCAAGAAATATAAATATATGTCTCTTTTTGTTTTGTGCAAATTGCTGCATCACAAAACTTTAAAACAAGTTAGTTTGCACCAAATGTTCCCAGAGCAGGCCTTCTTGCCCATAGCATTAACGAATGTACTGTCAGTGTGGTTGGGTATTGGGTCTGTCAAAGCAGTGGGAGATGGCATTCTCTGAGGCTTATGTGAATAGAGATTTAGCGTCAAAAAAATCTACCCAATCCAGTCCAGTGTATTAGGATACCATTGAGAACAGCTGACAACTCCAGTGGGGGAGGAAACATATTTTGATTTATTTCTGTGCCACATGGAAACACTAGACCCTGTGACTTCATTAAGCCTGCCAGGACACTTTTCAGTCGAGGTGTCTGTCATCAGACTGTTTTCCTATCAAACCATGATGACGATGACGGGCAGTGTAGCTGACCACTGAAGTGGTTTGCATTTCTCCCCAACAGGAAAACTACTAAAACTTTTTACTTAAGAAACATCAAGCAGAGAGCAACTAAAGGCCTTCAGATTAGTGGAGTGCAGAACCGGCAGGAGGTGTTCTTTTTTCTCAAACTTTTCTTTTCTATCAGGCTTTGTTAACTCACCCAGATTAGCATTTTAACAACCCTAAAGTGAACTTCTGCCATTCTCTCCTCTTGGACACAGTATGTAGACCATCCATCATCCTGTCCTTGGCTACAACAGGCTGCTAGCTCTATCACCATTTGGAGGTACACAGAATCCATCCAACTGTGAATAGCACAGCTGGCTACAGCCATTTTTTCTTCCACACCACTGGCAGCATTGTCTGGCTGTGGTAACTAAAGTTAACACCCAGAACAGGAAGTTTTTATTGTTTCGTAACCTGTGCCAGGCCCCTCATCCAGTATTGGAAGTACACCTGCCTTAAAGCTTGCTAGCTTGTCTTTCACTTATAAGGGAGCTTGTTCCAGCCTTAAGAGGCGTGTGGCCACAGCAGTGATACTTTAGGCCTGATACAATTTAGCCACAGAATTATAGAATGTGGAAGCTGCATTCAGACCCTGCTTATCCTACACATTCAGAACTTATTCTATCTGAAAAGAAGAAGGGAATAAGAATAGCATTTAGCCTGTGACCCAGAACCACTTGAGACAGAAAAAGACCCATCTAGCTCTCACACACCCTGATTTCATCCCTTTTCACAGACTGTGTGATGGACCTCACACAGTCCTGTGGTCTATAATAGACATGCTTCTGATGACATTTTGTTTCCCACTCTCTTTATCTGTAAAGGTAGCCATGTCCTGTTAAGGAAATAATAACAGATTAGGTGGGTGAATTTCTTAGGAGATATTGCCAAGCTTTTCATTTGAAGGTTTGAACTTTTCTAATTGAGACTACATCTTTGGGAGTTTGATGTACAGAAGGGGTGAGGTTTTTTCATGCTTTGCTGTAAGTGAACTCAACCACAAAATAGCAGGGAGAAGGAGGGTGGTATCCATAGAAGAGGAAGAGAGAAGAAGAGGGAACAGAAAGCACAGTGCCCAGCAATTAATGAGTGCAATGATTAAATTCTACACAGTCTAATAAGATCTTTATCTTGATAGTGTACAAGACTCAAACGCCTCTGGAAGGTAGGCTCCATTATCTCTACTTGGTCATCGAGGAAATTGAGTCACCCAGTAGGGAATTCAAACCTCTAAACATCTCAGCCCACACTTTCTCACAGTATTCGATTCCTTTGATATTTCTCTTCTTAATAAAGAAGTTACTTTTGGAGAAAATGTTTCTTATTGAATGGCTTACCCATGTGGGTATGTTCTTGAGTCATGTCTTTCCTGCTAACGTAAGTCATAGGGTTCTACTCTTTTCTCACATGTATTTCTTGTTGGTCAGATAACCATGACATCCTCATTGGTCTCGGAACAGCACCTCAGCCAACACTGCTCTCCATGTTGGGTTTTCTTGTCTAGGGTCATGGCAGTATTCACTCTCAGAAAAGTGCTGTCTGGGTGCACTTGGCAATTGTTTCCCCACTCCTGTTGGGTGACAGTGTACTGTGTGTCGCTGTCCCATTTCCTGGAAATGTTTATGAGCCATAGCTTGGGGGTTGAAGGTATTTGTCTGAAGCCGGACTGTTGATTCCAGTATGCCCACACTGACCTTCACGGTGCTTCCATGGGTTCTTTGACCTGAGCGACCAAACACACTGCTGAGAAGTTGGTCCCCATGCAGTGACGCACTTTTCTTCTTCACATTTCCTATGGGAGGAAATACTTCAAACCAGATATGCATTGCCATTATACACAATGTGGAAATTTAAGGTTTTCAGCGTATATTTAAGGGAAGGAAATACAGGTTTTAAGAGTAAGAGTTCAATGTGTCAGTACATGTATAATAAGGCCTCAGGAGGATCTGCAACCACTTAGCCTGTTTCTGGAGTCTGTATTTAGCAGGAGAGGCAAGAGTTTGTGTTGGCACAAAAGAACCGGGGCAGAGGAAGCTCACCAAGAAAACACTTCTGTTCGACAGTGGACCATCAGCAAACAAGGAAGCTAGGCTCTCTTGCCTAGCACCTCACTTGTTACCACAGGAGTGCTCTCGAGAACCCAAACTTCCCTCGGGTAACTGGCAGATAGAGGAAACAGTTCTAAAACCAAGAGATGAGAGAAAGAGGAGCCACAGAAGTAGTAATGTATTCTGCAGTTTCTGTTCTTGTCATTGCTGTGGCAACAGTATTCGTTTGGCTTCGACCAAGTGTCTGCTCTGCATGCATTCAAAGAGGAACATGACAGATTTTAGAGCTCTAGGTAAACAGCCACAGTAGAATGGGGTGTGTATTAAGTGCCAGAGAAGATACACCCAGCCCCGTGGAAGCTGAGAAAAGGGAGGTTATTTCTGGCCAGGGTGGTCAGGGAGGGTTTTGTAGAGCCACTGATATTTGAGCTGGTCCTTGAACTAGGT